TACAAAGATGATGACAAGAATGATCAAGATAATGGTGTTTTATCTTTCTGAATTGAATGGAATTAAGTTTTTAAAATATTTTTGAAGAAAAACTTGTCACAGTGTCTGCAGATGGCTATAATCCTTTTCTGATTTTTTTTTTTACACATCTAAAGTCCAGTTTTATTTAGTTGTAGGGCTTTTATCCTATTCTTCAATATGCAAGTTATACTCAAGTTTTTGTTCCAGCTTAAAGGAATTTTTATGAAATATTCTAATAAAATTCTTATTTATGGAAAGAGACTTTGAAGAGAAGTAAATAAAATGTCTATGTTGGTTATAGATTTAATTTAGTTGTGGACCTGTGTTATAGGAATTAGGATAGAAGGTTATTAAAATTTTGGTCTTGGTGAAAGCCGGAGAGCATTCATTGAACTGGTTATTTCACATTCCTTGGGTCATACCACGGTTCTCTTACTCTTTGTTTTTTCTTTCCTTGATAGTTTCACCCGCTTTCTGTGTACAGAGTCTGCAATAACTTCGCCGCTCAATCATTTGAAAACCTCTTTCAATTACTAATAACCTTGCTTGTCTGGGACTAAGAAAAAGAAGGCATTCTGCATCAAAGCTGGTAGTCGTCAAAGCTTGGCAAATGTTAGGCAGCCTTTCTCAGAATAGTCTGAGATTTAGAAGAGAATAAGTGCCGAATTCTAAATATTGGCAAAGCAGTTTAGGGAACAGTAGTGTTGATCTTTATTATGCATAGGCCTTGCAGAACAGGAATTATGTTGCTATTGTTATGAATTATATTGTCCTTGGTCATTCTAGCTGGTCAAGAAGAGCTACCAGTTAAAGAGTCTGATCTCACTGGAGTGAAAACATAAAATAATTTTAGTTTTAATAACCACCTGCAGTTGTAAAATTGTTAAATACCTTTTTCTTACTCTTCTGCCTTGTTAGGGACTCTTGGACCATACCGTGGAAGAAGGCCAGGAACCTTCTTGGCCATTTGCCACTACCAATGCCTCCTCCATCTGTAGACATATGGACTGACTACACTATTGCTAGGAGAGCACAGTCCCACAGCCCTCCCTTGGGGAGTGTCTGGTTCTTTGTGATGCTGGTGGTCGCTGCTGACGTGGGGGTTTCCTGGCCTTTGTGCATTTGACTTGCTTGTGTTTCCTTCCCTCAAAGGGGGAGGCAAGATTCAAAAGCTTAATCAAGTGGGTTTGGTTGAGAAAGCTTTGAGGGATTTCAATAATAACATGATCTGATTGTTACTTCAGGAAGAAAACTCTACAAAGTCAGAGATGGTCTGCATAGGAGCAAGAGTTGGGGCAGAGACCGCTTAAAGGGCTGTTACAGAAGTCGAGATGAGAGATGATTGTGCCTCAGATTGGAGGAATACTGGTGAAGCGACTAAATTCAAGATATATTTTGACTGCAGACACAATAGAATTTACTGGTCGATTGGATGCAAAGTGTGAAAGAAAACAGTGAAGGGCCAGAGGTGCATCCACATCTGCAAAGCAGATATTACAACAACTGCAGAAGGTGGGAGAACTTCTTGGTGCTCAGCTGGGGACAATGATAAGAATAAGAAGCGAATGATGTAATCAGAGGACGGTAGGAACTTCAAAAGAGAATACATAGCAAAATAATGTTGACAGAGCAAAGGTCCATCCTTCCTCTCTGACCCCATGAGTCCCCATGGGACTCATTTCTACTTCTTTATGAAGTGGAAAGTTATCTGTTTTTAGGGACAGTGATATCATCAAATGAAAATAGGTGTCAGGTAAGATGGAATAGAATAAAGGCTGTTAGAAGCATAATCAAGAATCTAGAGACTTATTTATAATCCTACAATACTGAAGGTCCATATATAGAGAGACTTTGGATGTAAATAAGGTTAGGGGATGAGAGTGTTGGAAGAAAAATCATGAGAGGCGCCCTGATCCTAGCATTATTAGGTAAAAGCTATCATGGAAAATAGACTCAAGGCACATGTTGATAAGGAATGAGAAATACTGAGCAAGAAAATTTGGTTTAAAGGCCAAATAATAGAACTTACCAGTGCCAAGTTTCCACATGGAATGTTGGCATCATGGTACATATATCCTGTGTTGATAGGAGAGCATGAGTGGGGGTCCTCTCTCTGTTTTACACTGTAACTTGGTGGGTCTTTTCTAATTTATACATTTACTGTTGGGTAGAGTAATTGTGACATCAGAAGGAAATTATCCAATCATGGTTTTCTGCTTTTCTCTTAAAATTTCTTCTCACTTATTAGTCTTTTGCCCTTTCTGTCTACACTTGTGTCTTACTTCTCACCTGCTCTATAGGTTATGGTATACTGTACAATGTACTAACATTCTAACATCTTATTTTAAGTTGAAAATGGATTTTTGGCAGTTTTGGGACCTAGGATTTTAGAAATACTCAACTAGAATGTATCTCTTGTCATGAATCTCAGCTATCATAACATCAACCTTTCACTTTTTCAGAAAGTGAACATTGCTGTCTGGATAACCAGATCGTCATGTCACCTTGTGACATCATTAATGGCGTCATGTTTATATCTGTACAGTGACTGTCTAGGTGATCCCTCTCATGAAAGATAAAGCAACATCTTCAAACAAAACATGAAATCTGACACAATTAAACATTCCTTCTCTATTAAATCTTAACTATCGGTAAGTTCATTAAGGAACTTACGGGTTCTGCTTTATTAGAACACATGTCACACTTTGTTTTCAAACCTCGCTGTGACCAATTGATAGGATTTGAACTCTGAAGTTACAAAATTGCCTCTTCTACATGTGAAAAGGGGCGGGGGGAGATTATGTAAGAGCAATTTAACTTTGTGAATGGAGAAAATAGCTCTGGCATGTTAGAGGCTCACTGAACAATGAGAGGATCAAATGTGTTTTATTGAGAGATGGATTTTCTAATACTGGAAGTTCCTTATACATTTTTTCATTTTAAAGGAAAGGTTGGAAGGGGTTGGCATAAATCAACAATGTTGCTCTAAGTGTGCCTGCAAAAAGCAAATATCTTCCAAGATACAAATAATTAGAAACTGATAGCAGCCTTTTGTTATAAGGTTAATTTAAATGAAATAATGGATCTGTATCTGTATTAACAAAAGGCCAAAGACGTACTGAGCCAGCTAACTGGACATTTTACAATGGATTGGCAAGATAAAGATTGTAGATGCCACCTATTGAGGCAGCGACAACCTTCACATTTAAGGTAATACTGCTCCTTCTTAGAAAACTTTACATTTAATTACATATTTAATATTTACGTTCTCATTGTATTATAGGCTTCCTAAAGGCAAAAGTCATATCTTCAAAAATTTTCACAATGTCTAGCATGCTGTAGCCTCTCAATAAATATTGATTTAAGAAAAATCTAATTTTAATTTGGGAAGATTAATCAAGTTGGGAAACTGCTAATCCACTGATTTATTCTAATAATCAAACTTTATAAAATTGCGATAGGAGTAGGAAAAACAAATTTCACAAATAAGTCATTTGAATCATTAGTTTCTACCTTTCCTTTCTGCAACAAACCTTTTTCTAGAGATGATTTCAATCTGCCTTTGGAGAGAAATGTAGTCAATAACCAATGGTCCCCTGGGTAACAGATAGAAAAGGCCAAGGGTCTAGAAATTAATAAATTACATAATCAGTCCTCAAAAGTTATATGTGTAACACCTTTTTGTGTGTATTAACACAAATAACATTCGACATTGTATGTGGCATAGAGAAGACCCTTATCACCCAGCTGTTAAAGTAGAAACTGGGCTTTTACAACATACAAATATTTTGAAATCAATGAATTCACTAAAGATATTTGTGTCAAAATTAACTATCAGGGATTCCACAAAAATTTCAAGAGAAAAATCATCAGATACATTCACAAACAATTATAGTGCAAGAAAAAGAAAGTAGACTCTCTGGCAACTCCTTGGGAGCAAAGTAAAGTAACTTAACTATGTTAATCTAAAATAAAAAGCAACAAGCATTTATTTGATATCCAAAAAAATAGCTATTCAGGAGGCACTAATTCAGGCAGAATTAGTGTTCTAATTAGGGAGTCAAAGCAAAGGGTTTTTAAGAGAAAGAGAAAAGTAACTAATCACAGTAATAGAAGAAAGGAATTTCTACTGGTGCTAATAAGTCGAGAAAGGAATTTTTATTGGTTTGGATAAACTAAGTTATTCTTTAGCTATAGGTATTGGTGCTAAGTCTAAAAATGTCTTGAACTTTCAGTCCTGTAGTCAGAATGTCTGCTTTGCAAACAGTTGTTTGGAATATCATGTCGCTTTGTCTCAGTCTGAAGGTTATTTTTCCCATTGTAAACATTCCAGAGTTTAAGGGGCAAGACATGTAAGGCAGTTTTTCTGGGATGGCAGCCCCAACTCCATTTTGAAGTGGCTCTATTTATATTATTTTTCACAGCTAAGATCACAAAAGGCCTTGGAGAATGCAGCAACGATTGGAAGTGTAACCACTGATGAACTGTCCCTTTCATAATCCACTCAGTAGGCATTTTTCCTTTGGCTGCAAAACTACTTTTGGTTGGATATGAGGTATCCAGTCATGAGTTGCTAAAGATTTCCTCTGGGGTGAAATGGATAGGTGCAGGAATCCTGTTTACAAGGACCAGCATTTTGCAAATTTTCTAAACACTTTTTTAAAAGAAACATCTATAAATGTCGGAGCAGGAGGACAGAGAGGGTGACACTTGTTGAGAACCTGCTGTCAGTTATGGAGCGAAGCATGTTCAATGGGTTAATCTTATTAATTTGAACCTACAACATTCTAGTGAGGTAGTGAAAAACCCCAGTCACAGTAGAAGAAACAGGATTACAGCAATTTGGGGGCTTGTTCCATTAAGGGGGAACAAAAGAACTCAATCCTCTATCAGTTTTGATGCTGATGCCTGGTGAAGGAACTCTGGCGTTACAGTGGAGCAGCCAGGACCCTAAATGCTTCCCGACCGTGACCAATTAGAAATCAGGACAGAATACGGTTGCAGCAGAGTAATCTACAAATTAGAAACAACAGGACTTAAATGTACTCTGCAGCTGAAATTCAGCGAGTCCTGGAATGGGAGTGGCAAAGGGGTAGTAAAATAGGTAGAGTGCTTTAGGAAACAAGTAGAGACATTTTCAGTGGCCCCACGCAGACTTTGTCCGGGTTGCTGGAAGAGCAACAGACTGGATCGCCTGCCAACAGGAAGAATGCTCCTTCCCTCTGGAGGGCTTTCTCTCTCCCCTCCAGGCCTCCGGGGGACCGAAGCAGCCAGGAGTTGTTTCATTCGCCTCTGCAGGGACCGGGAGGGCGGAGGCTGGGATTTGCAGAAGGTCAGCGGTGGCCACGCTCCGCGGGAGTCTGGAAGCTCACCGCGTCCCTGAGCGCGCTCTTTCTGTTCAGCTGCTGCCCCGAGGCTCGTTACAGCAGCCTGCGCTCCAAGCTCAGTCGCAAAGAAGCCATGGAGAAGTCCAAGGGCCGACTGTACCTTTGGATGTGCTTGGCTGCAGCTCTGGCGTCTTTCCTGGCAGGATTTTTGGTGGGTAAGTGTCCAAACCCCTTCTCCCTGAGCCCAGTGCTGTCG